CCTGGCTCCTCCTTCTTGCCCTTTTGGAAGACTGGAGTGACATTGGCTTTCTTCCAGTCCTCAGGCACCTCTCCTGATCTCCAGGACCTTTCCAAGATGATGGAGAGTGGCCTAGCGATAACATCCGCCAGCTCCCTCAGCACTCGTGGGTGCATCCCATCGGGGCCCACGGATTTATGGATGTCAAGTTTGGACAAAAGATCTCTAATCTGATCCTTCTCCACCAAGGGAGAGTCTTCCTTTCTCCAGACTTCCTCTCTTGTCTCCAAGGTCTGGAATTCCTGAGGACTGGCCTTAGCAGTGAAGACTGAAGCAAAGGCAGCATTCAACAACTCTGCCTTCTCTGTATCCTTCGTCACCAGGGCACCCGCCCCATTCAGCAGCGGGCCCACGTTTTCCCTAGGCTTCCTTTTGCTCTTGATGTATTTGAAGAAGCCCTTCTTGTTGTCCTTGACATCCCTTGCCAGATTTAATTCAAATTGGGCCTTAGCCTTCCTTGTCGCATGCCTGCACACTCTGACAACGTCCCTGTATTCCTCCCAAGTGGCCTGTCCCCTTTTCCACATTCTGTGTACTTCCTTCTTCTGCTGGAGTTTTGCCAGGAGTTCCTTGCTCATCCATGCAGGTCTCCTGCCCACTTTGCTGGATTTCTTACTCAGAGGGATACACTCATCTTGAGCCTGGAGGAGGTGATACTTGAATATTAACCAGATGTCAGAGGACACTGGCTAAGCTGGGACTTTCTTCCTAAATACATTTCAGCGCTACTCCAGATGTTGTATGCCTGGACAGCGACTGACTGAGATTTGTGATCTCCTTTAACAATGCATTAGATTGCCTTGAAAAGTGCTTTGCAGTGAACTGAAACACTTGAAGGACAGGCCTATGCTCGCCCATAAGGGATAAAACTGCTACGACTTCCTATGGTAGTCATGCAATTCATTTGTAGGCATCTAGGGGAGGATCCTGGGTGTGTCAGACGGTCACCTGAGCTCCCTGTAGTCAGTGGCCATCCTGCGAGTCCAGGAGCACTGCCAGTGTCATGGCCACTGTACTTGGCCAGCTGGTCACATAGTCTGTCCCCACATCTGAACATACCTTCTCCCGTTCGGTATTTTCCTGTACCCACTGCGTGGGACACCTCAGCTCTGTAATGCAAGGCAAGGCCATTGCTGATCGATCTAATGCTGCAACTGAAAATAGGATTGAGGAGCACAGAAGCAGCTCGGCTTGGTCAGATCAGTGATCCATCTAACCTCAGTTTATCACCAAGCAACCGCAAATACCTGAAGAATAATGTAATAACAGGGCAATACGGCAGGGACATTCCTCAGGACACCAACCTTTTCCTGGACCAGAACTGGTTGCTGTCTTTTAAAGTTCATCCCGAATCCTTCCCACTGGGTCTCTCCTAAACAACTGGCATCATGTTTGCCTCCATTCAGTCCTCAGGTGCTGAGAGGAAGAGTAGACGGTGATCTGGCTATTTGCTACTGCTGGTGTAGCCAGGCTGTCCTGCTGGTCCTTCTTCTGATGGAGCCTCCTCTCCGCATTAGGGAAGGGCCTTGGTGGAGTTATCACCCTCAGATGTTCCCATGGTAAAATGCAGATGTGAAAAATGATCCATTGCTGCCCCTCTCTCCCCGGGCGCTGCTGCAGGCAGGAGGCGCTCAGACAGCTCAGTCCCCTCCCCGTGCTGGGGTGGGGGGACGTTTGCTCCCTGCATGGCGTGGCGAGTGCCTGGGTCCTGCTTTTGTCCTGGGAGGGGGCAGCAGCTTCTCTGCCCTGCATGGAGAGACAGGACATGAGCTGCACGCGCAGAGTCACGCAGCCACACCACCGCCCGCCAGCACGGCTGCTCCTTATCCCCCGGGAGCCGTGTCTGTTTATTTACAGAGGTTAGGAAAAACCAACACAGACAACTCGGGGGCTCTTCTGAAGAGGGAAACCACATGCCTCCAGCGCAACGCGGAGTGTTTATTCAGAAACAGCAGAGCTGAAGCACACACTTGTGGGCCAGACCTGCAAGGTCAGAGTGTGGGCAGCCTCAGGGCAGGATCGGTGTTGGCTCACCACACACTGAGTTCAATGACACCCGTCCTCCTGCCTCTCCAGGGACCTGCAGCCTGTGGATTTGCTTGTTTATTTCATGCTGCTAAAGAAGGGGTGGCAGACAGGGGAAAAGCAGGGGGAGCAGTCAATAGGGAGAGACAGGCAGGGGGCTGGCCATGTCCTTCTTCCTCCCACTGCAGCAGTGCCAGGCAGCGGAAAAGCAGAGATACCAGTGAGGGTCATAAAGCGTTCAGATTTATATAGCTCCCAAGTCTGGTGTGGCTGAGTCTGCAGCAGCAGCAGGTCCGACCATGCCAGGAAACAGGTCTGCTGGCAGGAGCCACCAGATCCAAGTCTAGTTGTCCCATGGACCAAGAGCTTCCTGGCTTTTTGGGCAATGAAAGCAGTGGAGGGGACTAGCAGGGAGATGAAGTACACACAGTCCAGGGTGTTTTCTGACCGAACAGCTCCATGAGAAGGCAGGGACACTCGAGGAGCTGCTCGTATTGCTGGGCTGGTGCTGCAGCTGGACACTTGGCCGAGCACCCCCAGCTCCCCAGGCAGAGAAACTGGAAATACAAATGAATGTGGCCCAGGCCTAGCTGAAATATATAGTAGAGTAAAGGCAAGGGGAAGCAGAGTCTAACATAGCATAAAGTGCCCAGCTGTAACAGCCAGAAACTTTAACCTACTTGCACAAATTCAGAGGGAAGTTCAGCCACAGCAATGAAGACGCAGAGGTGTCCCAAGCTTTGACCCAGTCTCTTGCACAGCTGTGTTGGAGAAGAGGATGTCATGTCATTGGCACTGGTGAGGGACAGGAAGGCAATGCAGGATCTAAAACGAGCCCAGTGTCCCCAGCATCGGCATGTCTCTGCCGTGCAGTTTTTCCCCTTCTTGCACGGGCAATTTGAAACTAGATGGCAGGGGCTGTAATTTCCTCACGGTTATTCATCACCAAAGCCTTCCAAGGGGATGGTAAAACCAATTTCTTGGGATTTAAAGCAACTCACACTCAAGAGCCAAATCCTTACAGGGGATTTAAGTCCTGAGATGCAAGTATAGGCTCAGTAAGGTTTTAAAGTCCTTCTATCCTATTCAGCACCTCTAAAGATGCCAAGGGCACAGCCACTCTTTCTTTTATAGATGATCTTTACAATTTTATTGGTGTCTACCCAGCTAGGACTTGCAGTGTGAAAATGGCTGGAATGGAGTAAACATTCATGGTACCAGCTCTGTAGTGTCATATGACAATATTTTGCTGAGTCAAGAGTGATTTATCTGAGCTCACCAGACTTCGGAGTGACTTAGTGCTCCTATATCCTTCCTGGTCACCGTGGGGGGGGGGACACGGACAGCTGATCTGAGCCTCAGCCTGAGCAGACCTAGCTGCTTCAGCAGCAGGGTGGAAGCTCACCAACCCCAGTGTGAGCTTCCTTGCAGGCATGTGCATGTTCACATGCCTCCCAAGCAGAGTCTCCCACAGGCGAGCACCCTAGGAGGTCGGCTTTTCAGAAGCCCTGCACAAGGCAGGGGTGCCACTGAGCCACGCAGCATCGCACAGCACTGCAAGATGCACAGCCTTTCTGGCACCACGCACCTTCTCTCTGCCTGTGACGGAAACTCCCCCTCGCAAATGCCTTGGCAGCCCCACATCTCCGTGTGCCACGCACCCTCCTGGCCCACCCTCCCGTATCAGAGCCTTCCCATAGCTGCTCTGCTGGCACCACCCTGCTGCTGCTTTTGGGGGCTGTGCAACCTGCCCCACCTCTCCAGAGGTGCCATATAATCTGTGTTGGACACAGGGGAGGAGGAGTCCCAGAGGAAAGTGGTAACATGAAGGATAAGCAGAAAGGCAGCAGAGCAGCAAAGATGACCACAAGCCCCCAGGGTCTGGGCCACCACTGACGCAAAGGTTATATCTTAGGAAACCCACATACATGCAATTTGGAAATTGTACTGGAGCTTTTACTGCCCCAGAGAGGGAAACTGCAGCGAGAAAAGGCTATTTGTAAAAGAAAGCCCGGCAAGGATGCAAGGCAGGCCAGATCTGCTCACCTCCTGGGAAGTGCTCCTCTAGGGACTGCCCTGGAGAGGAGACCACCCTTGCCATGACTGCTGGGGCAATGCCCTGAGGACCCGGGTGGTAGCCGCATTATAGGGGTCTTGTACCACCCTTGCAGCTCCCTGAATTCATTGCAGGGGGGTTATAGGCACTGGAGCCAGTCCTTAGCCTGAGCATTTGAGTATCACAAGGAGATGAGCATTGGTAAAAGCTGCATCCCATATACTCAGTATTGAGAGTGTTAGAAACTGCGGCCGAAGTAGTGATGTGCCCCCTGGTCCAGCAGAGCTGTTACACATGTGTATAATCTTAAGCTCTTCTGCTGCGCCCCTGCGTGAGAAACTCTCAAAGCATTTTGCAGAGGAGGGCTGAATTTGTGCCTTGTCTTACACACAGGAAACAGGGGCAGGCTGACCCAGGTGCCCCAGCCACGCAGACCACACCGACCCAGGAGTGTGCTAGGAACAACCACTAAAGGCTATGCTCCTGTGAGAGCATGGATCCAGCCTCGTTGCTCCCACTGGTGCTGCCTATTGCCAGCCTGCTTCACAAGGGATGTGATTTGCCCTCGAGCTTGTGGGCGAGCGGTTGGGTACAGGACCAATGAGTCTTCAGGGAATCCTCAATGTGTGTAATCCCTTGGCGGGAACCTCTGTACGGATTCATTATTTTGCCTGGATTTCCCAGTAAGGTGGTACAGCCCTTGGACAAGCCACCAGAGAGTTTGGGTGGAAACCCAGTCCTTGGGGATTTCCACAGTTCGGTTGCACACAGTCACAGCCAGCTGGGCCTGGTGCTGGGGACTAGTCCTGCTGTGATTGAGGGGGCTGGACTGGAGACACAGGTCCCTTCCCACCAGCACTGCTGGGCCCTGTGGTCTGCTGGCAGCCTAGGCACAAATATTTTGAATAGCTTATGTCCCATTTCACACCTCACGCAACAGGTCCTTGAGGGCTGATAGCACCTCCCTGCATCTCTGGAAATCAGCCACGAGACAGTGCAGCATCCCGCCCTGCCATGCTGCCACTCTCCGTTAGAAAGGAGGGCATCCGAGTCACAGTTTAGCAGCAGTGAGTATAAACTTCGTATGCAAAGTGGAATTACTTGCTGTATAGAAGCACTAACATGTTTTGCGATCAATGCAGTAGGACCTGGGCAGACACTCACACACCTTTGCGCTATGATAAGGAGAATATTATTGCCGTGCTAGTGGCCTGGCCAGATAAGCTGTTTTGGGCGGGCAATCTGCACTTTTTTCAAGTTCTCCTTTTGCTGCGCCACTAACTCCAGATGACCTTCCCAAGGAACTAAGCTGCTTATTATTTAAAACTGCAAAGAGCAATGGAGAGTTTAGGTAAAGACCATGCTTACTCGGACCCTTCCCTGCCACCCTCTGCACCTCGTGAGGAATACGCTGTGCCAGGTAACGCTGACACCACTCCTAACTCGAATTTTTGAAGGGAGGAGCTAATGCCACTAATGCCTTCTAAAGAAGGAGTTACTAATTTCCAGTTGATGCTTGGGGAACAGAGGAGACACATTTAACTGCAAAAATCTGTGGGTTTTTTTCCGGTTGTATTTCAGATCCCAAAAGCAGAAGCACCTATAAAAGGCTTTTTAACTCAGATAAAATCCCTCAGCCACTGTCAATATAGTCTGTAGACTAGCAATACCGTTTCACTGTTCCTTTTAGCTGGAAGTATTTTTTTCATTTCACTTCTGTACCTTTGCGTGTTGGGCTAGATATTTTTTTCACCAGGTTGCTGACCTTTTTAGTGCAATCTTTCCTGCCTCGTGTGGGGAGGCGACCGGAAGCTTTGGAACAAGCTTGGACAAGCTAGCAATGAATGAGGGGTGTTTTCTAACTGTGCTAAACTTACTGCTCAGGATGGGTTGGGAAAGAGACTGACGGCAAGCAGCTAAAAGTGCTTTTTCTGGTCTCAAGTAATTTTGAAAGAGAAAGAAGGCTGGTTTTGCCTGCACAGGGATATGCAAAGGATTAAGTAGTTAAATTGGATCCCCGTGCAAATCCTGCTGCTGTGACTTGTAGCTACCTCTTCCCAGGCAGCTTTCTGCCTTTTGCTGTGTGACTGGTGGGGTTATTTCCTGCTGGCTGTGTCCCTGTTGTCTCTGATACTGCTTCACGCTGGGCAACAGCCTCCCTCTGGGGGAACATCCACCCCACTGTACGTCGTCCAGTTCAAGCACAGTGGTTTTCATCTCCAAGGCTGGCACCTTCTCTGGTAATACTGAAATGCCTCAGCCAGGACTGAGAAGCTCTGCCAGTATCTGTGCATGTTGTGGCCTTCACTTCTGTATTGCATCCTGCTGTGTCCTCTGTCTTTGGACTAGTGAGACTGAAAGCTTTTGTGGGAGAGGAGCTGTCTTCTCCTGCAAGTCTTTGCTGTGCTCAGACCAAGAGAGCTCCTGGAACTGCTATACAAAAGGCAACAATAAAATAATAGAACAAACCAAGAGACAAAGCACAATGGAGGATTGCTTTTGTTGCCTTTGTGGTTGTTGTCATTCTTAGACAGCATCTGGAATACTGTGACCAGATTTTGGCAACTCAGTATAAGGACAAAAGCAAGCTGGGATGAGTCCAGAGCAGGGCCACCAAGACTGTTGAAGGATGGAGAACATGGCACAAGGAGACACCTTTACATATAAAGGAAAATTTTCTCACCGTAAGAGTGGTGCCAGGACCAGAGATATTGTCTTCAAGATCTTCCCAACTCAGCTGGACAAGGCACTGAACAACTTTATATAATTTTTAAGTCGGTCGGGCTTTGGAGAGGACGTTGGAGCAGAGACATCAGAGTTTCTTTCCAAGCTAAATTACTCCATGATTATTACTAATTATCACTAGTGGCTTGTGCAAAGAACTCCTTTGGGCAAAGCTGGGCTCCTACTGTTAGTTTTACTCTTTCCTGTCTTGGGCTATGAAAAAGGCTTTTCTCATGGCTAACACAGACATCTGGGACACAAGAGCTCTGGTCCCAGCTCGGTCTTGGGAAGCCATCTTGCCTTGCCAGTTATCGCAGCTGGACAAGGGAAGGATAAAATGACGCTCCTGTGCTGATTTGGCTTAATATTTTAGTGTGAGCTGAGGCTTTTCATGGAAGCTCTTCATGATTGCATCTGTAAGGAGCAGGTAGTAGCTTTGTTGCTTGTTCGTGGTATGAGTTTTGCTGAAACTCTGAAAATCAATGCTGTTATGACCTCTTCTGTGTCTAGGGGGGAAGATTCTCCTCTACCTCCAGGCCCCAGAGAAGTGTTATGCCTACTGAACAATGCCTTTTGTCTAAAAGGAACAGCCTCACGCTACCTTGTCTAAGACAGGTCTTTATTAGCACAAGCTGGAGTCCAAAATAGAAAATTCAGGGCTGATGGGATCAGAAACCATAAGGCCTATTGCCATGTGGTCAGGGAAGTTGTCAGTTCTAGGACTTGCAGAAGAAAAGTTTGTATGGGCCTCAGTGAAATTCAGGCATTGGTTTGTCTAGCTGAAGTTGGCTGAGATGTCTCTTGTCTCAGGAGGCCAGTTGGAGTGCTTACTAGCCAGTGAAATGGGCACAGCTTACTTGGCCTATGAAGGCATCTCAGAGCTCAGGTGACTGGGGTCCTTTCTCCTGGCGGCTGCAGGTAACCTCAGTGTCTTACTCAAATGAAATGTCATTGGAGCCTTCTCACATGAGTCTATCTATCTTCAGCCCTGCCATGGCCCTCCTTACAGCTGCAAACCAGCTTGGGGCTACTTGTGTGGTCTCTGGGGCCAATCTCCTCACCACCACCATGTCCTGGTCTCTGGCTCACCAGACCCTACAGGGGATCAATCAGCGTAACACACAGGAGTATACACAGAAGGGAAATACGGTGTCCTTTGGCTCAGCCTTCTGCCTCACAGACCTTTTCCTATGTGGCAGGGCTGGCCCTTCTGCAGGGCAAGGTTTTGTAACAAAGCCACTTGGAGAAGGCTATCAGTCCCGCTTGCCGGTAATTTTCCGGTGGACACGACCTAGATAGTGGCCACAGTGAAATGGTTTGAGAGTCACAGACATTCCCCATGTAGCAGGGAATTCCCCACAGAGCAGGGAAATACCTCAGTATCCTGAATGCCTCATGATGGGACCAGCCAACTAAGCATATGAACAGCTCTGCTCAACTTGTTGGCCTTTACTCCACCTAGACAAGCCTCCTGATTGCAGCAGTGGTCAATAGC